GTATTTTCTTATAATATCAAAAACATGGTAACAATGTCCACTCTTAATATTTTTATTCAATATTTTAGTCAGAGTGAGGAGGCAAGTAAAATAAATAAAAGGCATCCAAACTGGAAGGAAGTAGTAAAATGATCTCTGTCTGCAGATAATATGATCTTATATGTAGAAAACACTAAACATTCCAGGAAAAAAAAACAAAACAAAACACAAAAACAAAAAACGACAACTGAAAACTAATAAATGAGTTTACCAAATTAGGAGGCTATAATTCAACACACAAAAATCAGTTGCATTTCTATATATAAACAATGAACAATCTGAAAAGAAAATCACAAAAACAATTTCTGCCCTGGCTGGTGTGGCTCATTTGGATGGAGAGTTATACATGCACCACAGGGTCATAGTTTGATTCCCCGTCAGGGCACATGGCCAGGTTGCAGATCCAATCCCCAGGAAGGGCACATAAGGAAGACAATCAATCAGTGTTCTCTCTCACATTGTTGTTTCTCTCTTTCTCTCTCCCTATTCTTTCCCCTCTCTTAAAAAAAATTAATAATAAAAAAAAGCAAAAACAATTCTATTTACAATAGCATTAAAAAGAATACTTAGGAATAAACATAACCAAGTATGTAAAAGACCAATACAATGAAAATTGCAAAACACTTCTTAAAGAAATTTAAAAAGATGTAAATGGAAACACATCCCATGTTCATGGATTAGAAGACTTAATACTGTTAAATATCAATACTACCAAAAGATCTACAGTTTTTATGCAATCTCCCAAAGACATTTTGTGCAAAAATAGAAAAACTCACCCTAATATTGCTATGGAATTTCAAGGGGCACCTAATGGCCGAAAGAACAAAATTGGAAGACTCATGCTTCCTAATATCAAAAGTTACAACAAAGCTACAATAAACCAAACAGTGTGATACTGGAATAAAAACAGAAATACACACCAATAAAATAAAATAGAAAGATTGGAAATAGCTTGGCTGGTTTGGCTCAGTAGTTAGAGTATAGGCCCACAGACTAGAGACTTCTGGGTTTGGTTCCCACTAAGGGCACATACCTCAGTTGCAGTTTGTCCTCGACACCGGTTGGGGTCCTGTGTGTGTGGGTGGCAACCGGTCAATTTGTCTCTCTCACGTTGATGTTTCTCTTTCTCTCTTCTCCCCTCTCTCCCTCCCACTCCATCTGAAGATAAATGCAAAAATGCCCTCAGGTGAGGATAAAAAAAAAGACCAGAAATAAAGCATCACATGTATATGATTTTCAACAAGGGTGCCAAGATCAAAGGTGCCAAAGACAGCGTTTTCATTGAATGGTGCCTGGAAAACTGGATATCCACATGCAAAAGAACAAAGGTTGATCCTTACCTAACACCATATACAAAAAAATAACTCAAAACAGATCAAAGACCTAAAACAACAATACTGTTAGGATAAAACACAGGACAAAATTCAATGGTTCAGGACATTGAATTTGGGAATGATTTCTTGGCTATGACATCAAAAGTACACAAATGCAAATAAATTGGATTTCATGAAAATTTTAAAAATTTGTACATCAAAAGACACTATCCACAGAGTAAAAAGGAAACCCACAGAACAGGAGAAAATATTTGTAAATATTTGGCTCAGCAGTTAGAGCATCAGCCTGCGGTCTAGAGACACCCGGGTATAGTTCCCGCTAAGGGCACATACCTCAGTTGCAGTTTGTCCCTGGCCCTGGTTGGGTTGTGCAAAAGGTAGCCACTTGATGTGTCCTTTTCATGTCAATGTTTCTCTCTGTCTATCTCTCTTCCTCTCTCTCCCTCCCACTCTATCTGAACAAAAAATGGAAAAATGTCCATACTACCCAAAGCAATCTATAGATTCAATGCAATCACCATAAAAATACCAATGACATATTTCACAGAACTAGAACAAATACTTCAAAAGTTTATGTGGAACCAAAAAGGACTCCGAATAGCCACAGCAATCTTGAAAAAGAATTTTCACCGATATATTGCCTAGGGCAAGAAAAACAAAGGGAAAAATAAACGAATGGGGCTACATCAAACTAAAAACTTCTGCACAGTGAAATAAATAACCATCAAAATGGAAAGGGAACCCACTCTATGGGAGTGCATAGCTGTCAATGATACATAAGATAAGGGGTTAATTTCCAAAATATATAGAGTGTTCATACAACTCAAGAAAAGGAAAACAAAGAACCCAATTTAAAAATGGACAGAGGTGTTTCAGGCTTCTTAGGGTATATTCCTAGAAGTGGGATCACTGGGTCAAATGGGAGTTCACTTTTTAATGTTTTGAGGTAACACCATATTGTTTTCCATAGTGGCTGCACCAGTCTGCATTCCCACCAGCAGTGCACTAGAGTCCCCTTTTCTCCACACCCTTGCCAACACTAGTTTGATGATTTGCTGATGGCGGCCATTCTGACAGGTATGAGGTGATATCTTATTGTTGTTTTAATTTGCATCTCTCTGATGATTAGTGATGTTGAGCATTTCTTCATATGTCTCTTAGCCATTTGTATGTCCTGTTTGGAGAGGTGTCTATTTAGTTACCCCCATGTTTGTAGCAGCACTATTTACAATAGCTAAGATCTGGAAACAGCCCTTAGCTGTTTGGATAGACGAATGGATAAAAAAAGCAGTGGTACATATACACAGTGAAGTACTACGCAGCTGTAAGAAATATCTCTTATCCTTTGAGACGACATGGAGGGACCTGGAAAGTATCATCGTAAGTGAAACAAGCCAAACAGAGAAAGACAAGTATCATATGATCTTATTTGTGGAATATAATGAAGATAAAAATGTGAGGAATGGGGTAGTCCCAGAGATGTGGAAGTGGGGTACAGAGTGACAATCCCCAGAAGAGGGGTGGGGTGGGGTAGAGATAAACCACAGAACTTATATGCATGTGTGCATGAAAAATGAACATGGACAACAAAGCTGAGGACAGGGCAGAGAGGGTGGGGGAGGGGGAATCAGAGGAGGAAAAAGGAGAAACATCTGTAACAAAAATTAATTAATTAATTTAAAAAATAAAATAAAAAATAAAAATGGACAGAGGAACTAAATAGATATCTCTCCATAGAGGACATACAAATGGCCGAGAGACATGTAAAGAAATGCTCAACATCAATAATCATCAGAGAGATGCAAATTAAAACAATGAGGTGTCACCTCACACCTGCCAGAATGGCTGCCAGCAACAAATCATCAAACAACAAATGCTGGAGAAGGTGTGAAGAAAAGGGGACTCGAGTATAATGCTGGTGGGAATGCAGTCCAGTGCAGCCACTATGGAAAACAGTATGGTGTTTCCTCAAAAAATTAAAAACTGATCTGCCATTTGACCTACTGATCCCACTTCTAGGAATATATCCTTAAACACCTATCAGAAAAAATATATGTACCCCTATGTTCACAGCAGCACTATTTACAATCACTAAGATCTGGAAACAGCCCAAGTGTCCATCAAGAGATGAGTGGATAAAAAAGCCATGGTACAAATATACAATAGAGTACTATACAGCTGTAAGAAAGAAAGATCTCTTATCCTTTGAGACGACATGGAGGGACCTCAAGAGTATTATGCTAAGTGAAATAAGCCAATCAGAGAAAGGAAAATACCACATAATTTTACTTATTTGTGGAATATAGTGAACAAGGTGGGCTGATGAATGAAATAGACCCAGAGAAATGAGTATAATTCTGACTGACAAACCTCAGAGGAGGGCGGCGGGGGAGAAGGCTAAGATAAACTAAAGAACTTATATGCATGTATACATAACCATTGGACATAGCCAACAATGCTGGGGGTGGGGGTAGGGAGGAGAGTGTCTGGTGGGGGAGATGAAAAATCTGTAACAAAAAAAATTAATAAAAATTGAAAAAAATAAAATAAAAATTACTAATTCAATCTCTCTACTTGTTTTAAGTCTGTTGAAGTTTTGTATTTTTTCTTGAGTCAAGTTTAGGAATTTGTGTCTTTCTTGGAATTTTCCCTTTCATATGGTTATATTATTTACTCTTGTACAGTTGTTCATATTATACTCTGATAATCCTTTCTTATTTCTATAAGGTCTGGTACTAATCCATTCCTGTTTTTACTAATTTGTGTTTTCATTTTTATTCTTGGTCAATCTAGTTAAAGATTTTCCAATTTTGGTGATTTTGTGAAGATTGTGTTATAATTACTAGTTTATTAATAAGTATCAATCATGGTTAAGAAAAATATGACTCAGAAGATCTTGAACCTTTCCTCATCTGTATTAATTACAGTATTAAAAATGTATTCATATTAATTGAATATGTTTAAGAAAATAGTTCTTAAAACACATTCTGAGTGAAGAATAAACTTAGCAAGCTGTGTTTTTGGTAGTTTTAGGAAGATTGAAAAATTTGGCACTGAGATATAGTATCTCTGCCCTCAGATGGATCCATTTTGGGAGACAGGTAAAGCTATATGTACCATGAGGAAGCATGCACACTGCTAGGGAAAGTGCAGGCTGCTGTAGGAGTTCACAGTGGGTCACTGGGGAGCCTACAGTCTAGCTGTGCCACCTCCACAACTGCCCATTTCTCTCTGGACAGACAGGTAGCTTCTTGAGCCCCTCAGGGCTCCTTGGTCATGGGGTTAGCCAGAGTGGGGTATGAGATGAGGGCTTATTGAGGTGGGTGAGGTTGGACAATCAGGCTTTTCCCAGAGGACTATGGACTGGATACCACCTTACTTCTAGTCCCCTCCTGTCTGGTACCCTCCAACTCTAGAGGGCGGGACATAGGAGCATGAGTGACACCAAGCATCCTACCCCGATGGATTAGGGGCTCTGTCAGTGCTTCCCCTCACTCCACCAAGCCCCCCCTTCAAACCTGAGGCAGGTGGAACATGAGGGAAACTGAGTCTTAGAGATGGAATAGCTGTTTCCTAGGTGAGCTGGCCAAGTCCCCCATAGCCAAAGCCATTTAATCTAGTGCAGTGATGACACCTCTCTCTTTATGCTCCACAGAATCTGAAAATGGGGCCCTAGGCTCTGGTTGGCTTAGTGGCAAGAGGAGGAATGCCCTGCAGATGCTTTATAACTTGGACCAGGTAGGTGGAGAGACCCCCCCCCCTGAAACCCCTCCCTCTGTCTCCAGATATGGGAACACGAGAGCCCCAGTGTAGACTACAATCATGGGACTGAAACTCACACTGGGCACAGAGAGGTATCCTCTGCAAATCCAGGCTGTGTTCAGAGACTAGAGTACCTGGGGATGTGACAGGGGCAAATCTTGGAGGGAAGTTGAGAGAGTTGGTGTCTCCACCCCACCTACCTGTCCATCATCCACTCAATAATAGACTGGGCCCACTCTGTGCCAGGTGCTGTTCTTTGTGTTGTGGATATGAAAGAGAGTAAAATAGACGCTAAGTCTTCCCTCAGGGAGTTAACAGTTTAGTGCGAGATAATACTTAAGTGAACCCCCAAATTTAGTACCAGCTGCAATAGGGAAACACAAAAAAGATCGGGCCTCACCTGTTCTCAGGCACTGGACCAGGTGGCTTGCTGGTCTGTGCCCCAACGACACATACATGGTCGTACCCCACTGAGAGTCACAACCCCTGGCTCACACCACACCCAAACAGCCACACTCAGAGGCACCCATTCAGGTAGTATATGTTGAGCACCTACTGTATGCAGACTGTGCTCAGGAAACTGCATCAGCCACAACCAGATAGGCTGGTTCCCTGCCCTTGGGTAGATGACAGTTCAGTAAGGAAAGACATTATCTGATCACCTCCTCCACTAAACTGTGACTGAATTGTGTCTAAAAGGGAAATATGAGGTACAATGAGAGCTCTACCAGGAGGGTCCTAGTTTAGATAGGGGAGAGGGACCCTCTCTGAGAAAGGGACATTGCAGCTGGGACCTGCAGAGGAAGAGTTAAGAAGCAAACAATAGGGGCCAAGTAGCTGGAGGTGAGCAGAAAACAGGTTTGCAAGGTGAGCCAGGGGTAGCCTGGCAGGTGGAGCAAAGAAAATAGGGAGCCATGGAGGATTTTAGACCAGGGAGAATGATCAGACTGGGTTTGGAAAGTGTTTCTGACTGCATCCCCAAGGACTGAACCAAAGAGGTATGTGGAGCTCATCTGGCCCATGTTTTTAGGGGAGGACTTTGTTCAGAGAGGATGACTGGCTTGCCCTGGGCCACACAGCAAGCCAAGGGCAGGGCAAGTTCTCATCAGACCCCCAGTTCCACTTGCTCTCCAGACTTTTGAGGAGCAGATGGGGCTGGCTCAGCCCCCTCATAGCATGAGGACCTAGTGACCTTGGGGTGTCAATGTTCTGGAAGCTTAGTACCTTGCAGCTGAAGAAATAATAGTAATAAGAGCAATCTGGACAAAAGTGCTAACTGTGTACCAGGCTCTCTAGTTTTGTGAACTCATTTAGACCCTGCAAGGTGGGGATGTTGTTATCCCTGTTCACAGATGAGAAAACTGAGGCACAGGGAGGCTAAGGACCCTGAGAAGGTCACAGAGGTCACAGGGACTAGAGCCAGGCTAAGGATCCAAATAGCTGAGTCTAGCCTGGCTGGGAGGGATGAGGGTGTTGCTGCTGGATGCAGCTCCAGACCAACAAGCACAGCTCTGGCCTCTGAGTCCAAAGGGACCCAAGCTGGACCTTTCCTATCAGAGAGCTCTAGACCATTCATTTCCTCTAAGCCTCAGTGTTCTAACCTCTAAAATGGAGACAGCATTGAGTATATGGGTATTCATGGGGCTGCTAACAACAGAAAAGCCAACTGAAACTACAGTAAGCTGTTAGGACAGTCAGTGTGCACTCCCCAAGATACTCAAGAGACCAGCACTCGCTGGATAGCAGCAACACTCTGCCCACAAACATCCTGTGGATGTTGGCTTCTGCCATAGCCTTGTTGCCTCATGACTGTGAGATGAATGCCAGGGCCCTGACATCTCCTCACAGGATATCATCCCAAGTAGAAGTGGGGAAGGGAGAGGTAAAGGATTTTCTTCCTTCAGGAACCCTCACTTTTTCTCCTGAAGGAAATTCTTTCTTGGGAGCCATCCAACAAACTTCTCCTTGAATCTCCTTGGCCAGAACTAGGCCACATGCCCCTCTTGGGACCCATCACTTTAATAAAGATGTGACTGGTTCCTCCCTGAGGTTGGGTGCATGGCCTAACATAGTTGGAGTCTGCTGGCAAGGAAGGAGGGAGACTGAGAGGTGGGTGGATGGCCAACATTCCCCACCACGACAAACATCTTGGGTTGTCTGGAAGCTGAAAACAGATCTTCTCTGTAGGGTGCCTGGTTACAATTCTCTCCTGGTGTCCACGTGGAGCCAGGCTCCTGAGGCCAATCCTATAAGTCACAGGGTGGGAATGCAATCCTTTAAGTGTCCCCAGGCATGGCTGAACTTGACAGCTACCACCACAATGAGATATTTGAAAAAGTGATATAAGCACGATATGGTATTCTATCCTACCAAAGAAGGTACAGTGAAGAGCACCTCTCCTTCCACAGTTACCCCTGGAAGCCAGTTCCCTGTGAGTCCTTCTAGACATGTTCTGGTCATGTATGTAGCATCAAAGGCTCTATCATGTAGTTATGTTTCTTTTGCAAAATCTCACCTACAGGTACATATGTCCTCGCTTTATCTATTTTAACTTTTCATTTTGAAAGATTCAAACATATGCAGAAGTAGAGATGAACACTCACATTCCCATCACCCCATCTGAACAATGATCAAATCCTGTCCAGTCTTGTTTCTTCCTGTCCACACCCCACCCCTACCATAAAATTCACTCTTTTAAAGTATACAGTGGTTTTAGTACATTAACAAGGCTGTACAACCATCACCACCATCTAATTTCAGAACATTTTCATCATTCCAAAAAGAAATCTGGTACCCATTAGCAGGTACTCCCCATTTTCTCCACCCTCAGCCCTGACAACCACCAATTTACTTTCTGTCTCTATGGATCTATTATGGACATTTTATATAAATGGAATTATACACATGGCCTTTTATGTCTGGCTTCGTTTACTTAGTGTGCATAATGTTTTCAAGTTTTATGCATATTTTAGCATGTATCAGAACTTCATTCCTTTTTATGACTGAATAATATTCCATTGTGTGGATAGACCACATATATACTATTTATTCACCAGTTGATAGATATTTGGGTTGTTTTCACTCTTTGGCTACTATGAATAATGTTGCTGTAAACATTGGTGTACAAGTTTTTGTTACCTTAGGTATATACCTAGGAGTGGAATCACTAGATCATATGTTGACTTTTTTTGAGGAGCTGTCAAACTGCTTTCCACAGTATCTATACCATTTACATTCTCACTAGAAATGAAAGAAGGTTCCACTTTCCCACATCCTCATTAATACTTATTGTCTTATTATCTAAAGGCTTTTAATGTAATTTTTACAAATTAAAAACACTTTCTTTTAAGAACTCTTAGACATTAAAACCACCAAGGAAAAGGGTAGGGGGTTAGAGGGTTAGTCTTGGAGGTGAAGACCATGTTTAGGGCAGAAAGGACTTGAAGAATGCATGGACTTGAAGGTATGGCTGAAGAAGTATACAAAGGGCTGGGTCCAGGTGTACTCTTACTACTACCTAATTCATAGAGTTGTAAAGGGTATAGCAAGGTGTCTGGCACACAGTAAGTGCCAGATTAATGCTATTTCACAGAGGAGAATCAGGCTCAAAGAGGGCAGGCTTCCTGCCCAAGTACTGAGATTAGAATTTGTTGGAGGGGTGGGGAGAACTGGGTGAGATGAAGAAATCAAGACCCAAAGGAACATGCCAATTCATAAATATAGAATTAGCTAATTTTATTATTAAACAAAAAATATCCTAATAGCCTGAAAGTGGCTGCATTTTTCAAATCTATTTATATAAAATTAAAGCTATAATTATTTTTTATTCCATATCATCATGAGTTTTTTTTGCTCTTTCTTTTTTAATCCTTGCCTGAGGATATTTTCTAATGAATTTTCAGATAGAGTGAGAGGGAGGAAGAGAGAGAGAGAGAGAAATATCGATGTGAGAAAGACACATTGATAGGCTGACTTCCATATGACCCTGACAAGGGCTGGGGATTGAACTGCAACTAAGGTATGTGCCCTTGACTGGAATTAAACTCGCAACTCTTTGGTTCATGGGACAATGCTCTAAAGGCTGAGCCAAACTGGCCAGGACTGTTTTTATTTTATTTATTTTTTTCAATTAAAAATATTTAATGTCAAAATTATTGCAGGTGTCCCCTTTACCATCTTTGCCTACCTCCACCTACCCTTACCTGCCCCTCCCTTGGCCTTCACCAAATTAATCTATGTCCACAAGGTATTCATATATGTTGTTCAACTAATCCATTTACCTTTGTTCTCTGGTCACACCCTCCTCAAAAAATTATAAATGGAACTGCCTTTTGACCCAGTGATCCCACTGTTAAGAATATACCCTAAGTTTTTTGGAAATGGATAGTGGCGGACAGGACAAGATGGAGGGTGAGTGTGTGAGAGAGTGAGCCAGTGTGTGAGAGAGTGTGAGTGGACATGAAGGTGGACGACCAAACCCAAGCAGTGCAGAGCCACAAAGCAGAAAGTTTCTGTGCTGTGGACCGGAGCAGTCAGCTACCATAGTAACCGGTCCTTCGGGGTGCTTCTCCATGTGCTGTGGGGAGGTCCCACCATTTTGGAAGATCCAGGGTCTTCCCTGAGAGGAGGCAGTGGGAGCGGCTAGGGCCCAGCAACCTGAGCCCACCAGCACACCTGGCACCATCAGACCAGTGGACACTCTGTGTCAACACAGACCAGTGCACAGTAGTGGAGCTCCCAAGGTGCAAGTCGCAGAAGCCGCAGACAACCAGGAGCCCAGCACCATTCTCTGCACTAGCAGCCCATCAGAGTAGAGATATACCCCCAGCAACAGAGGCTGGGGAGCAGACATCCATCCCCAGGCAACAGAAGCACAGAGCATCAGCTGAGATTTATTCCCAAAAACTACAGCAAAAGCTGAGCAGAAGTTGAGCCCCATGGGGCAGCAGCACTCCCCAGCTGCCAGCAGCGGGACC